CTGTGCCTGTTCAGCAGACAGGTTCGTCTACTACTTCTCCGCAACTATATCTAGGTGTGTACTCAAAGCCCAGGTCCGGCTTTTCACTCACAGTAACATCCCTCTCCCACAGCAGCACAGAGAATCATATCGAACTGGAAATAAAATGCGGGAAATAAAATGCGGGAAGTAAAGATGCGATAAATAAACGCAACCCAACAAGCAAACACACAAACGATAGGATTGACTCGCGTAGGGGATGGGAAGCGGTCCCAGCATAAGGGATGGGAAAAGTCCCTGGATGCAATAAGTCCCCAGCAGAGTCGCCAGCTGTCGCTTGCGCGAAAAATAAGGTGCCGGCATGACAGAAGAGTCGCCACCTTTCGTTATTTATCCCTCAGAGCGGGAAAGGAAACGATCGGAAAAACCTGACGAAAAAAGGTAAGACAAGGTCATCGCAACCATTGTCTGGGTTCGGGAGTCGGTTACGCAAGGGGAAGGTATTAGCACCCCTCACGTCCGTCGTACTCGACGGGATCCTCGCTTGTGTGCTTACTTGGACGGGTTGGTTATAATCTATCTACCTATCAAGGCTGGCTGAAAAAGAAAAGGAAAATGACTCGGCAAAGCATCGCGCTTTATGCCTACGTATTCCCATCAGAGAATGAGAAATCAGAGTCAACGTAGTTCGGCTAACTACGGGGGAAGGGGAAAAGTTGCTCGCTAGGATATCGCATCCTATGCCTACGTACTTTCATCTGGTATGAAAGATCAGAGCAAACGTAGTTCGACTAACTACGGGAAAAAAATGGCTCAACTAGGAGGGAGACTATCAAGTCCTAATGTTATCATGCCGTGGATTCATCCTATGGTTGAGGTTTGAACAGGGAACTCCTAGATGTTGTCATGCATAGGTTTCAACCTAAAAGTCTATCATCAAATCCTCGTCAAAGGAAATGAGAGTCCTAAGGGATCATGTCAATGATACACCAAAACAGACAAAAACATCAGCTTTAACAGTAAAATGCATGCAATGCAAGTGAGGGAGGAAATGTGTGTGGGGTGTCAGCCTCCACAAGCTCGTCTCGACCTCAAGCCAGTCATGAAATAACAGTAATCATACTGAAGATAAACAATCATACTATCAAGCAATGAACAGATAAAGGAAATGAAGTGCCACCAGGCAAACAAACACACATGCTTGAGAAAGAAAGAATCTACTCTCCTATCCTAACCCTAATCACAGAATCTGAATCAAAACACTAAAACAAGACCCTCAAGCAAAACCTAACCAAGAGAAACAATCCCAGTCTTCAAGCTTCAGAACAAGCTTACCAAAGAAAGGGAGCTAAGCAAGCAGACTCATAGTGTCTTCCTCAGGAAAGCACTAGGAGGTGTATACTCAGGAGTCATACCCTATGTGGCTCAACCACTGTGATCAGTTTATATTCCTCCTCAGGAGAAATTAAACTCACAAGCAGGCTCCAACATCACTGGATATTTAGGAAATCCTATCTGAACTAGTGGGGCTAAGTGAATAGACCCATAGGACCTTCCTCAGGAAAGTACTAGGAGACTTCCACTTAGGAGTTGTATCCCATGTGGCTCAACAACATGTGATCAGTTTACATTCCTCCTCAGGAGAAATTAAACTCACAAGTTGGCTCCAACATCATTGGATACTTGAGAAATCCTAGGTAAACTAAGGGAACTAAGTGAATAGACCCATAGGACCTTCCTCAGGAAAGTACTAGGAGGCTTCCACTTAGGAATTGCATCCCATGTGGCTCAACAACATGTGATCAGTTTACATTCCTCCTCAGGAGAAATTAAACTCACAAGTTGGCTCCAACATCACTGGACACTTAAGAAAGAGGTGAGAATAAAGAATGAAAGTCATTCATAGTGCCTTCCTCAGGAAAGTACCATGAACTTCCTTCAAACTTCAGGATCTCAAACCTCACCGACAGGGAACAAGCCAAGCTCTGGGTCTCTGAATCTTGATCTACAATCTTCTCTTCATGATACTCTCCATCAAGGTCTTCAAGGCAACACAATCCCCACAACAAATTCCCCACAATGAACCCCAAAGATGAACAGATAACCACAGGGGAAACAAAATCAACAGGCAACTTCAGAAAATACCTAAAAATGCTAAACTAATGGGGAAAAATCTAACAATTGCTCACAAGGGTCTTCAACACCTACTCATAACATCTACATAGGCCTCTACCTAAAAATCAAGACAAAACTTATCAAAGAAAGTGAATTCTTCACCTAAACACAACCTAAACCCTAATTAGGATACCCTACATCTACCCCAATTAAACTAATCAAAATTTAATTCTAAAATTCTAGAAAAAATCCTATGGGGAACTATGATTCATCATCTAATTGCACAAAAAGGAATGGATTAAAAAGACTAAAGGAAAGTCCTAAAACAATTCTTGCAAAATCATGATACCAAACTAAACATTATAAAAGCTATTTAAAAGAAAAATCTATTAAAAATACTAAACTTAAAAATAAAATCCCATTTTTATTTTTAATATTTTCTACACATTATCATCTACTCATAGAAAAAAGAAGAATTAAAAAAGAGTTATTTTTCAATTTTTAATGAATTTTCTAAGACAGAAAAATATTAAAAGAATATAAAAGAAATTAAAACAAATAAAAGGGAGGGGGGGTAGGAATAGCAACACACGCTAGTTGGTCTAGATGGGCCAGAAATAGGGGGGGGTGTGGATAGAAGCCAGCAAGCCCAAGCGCGTTTAAATGAAACGACCGCGTTTCGCTTTTTGAATCTTTTCCCTCCATCTTCAGACTCAATCACGGCCGTTGGATCAACATAAAAGGTCAAATATTCCAAATGAAATAACGGTGAGGATTGCATCTTCAACCTCTGGCCTGCTAGGGTTTCGAAACAGCCTCCATGCACCATACCTTCTCCTTCATCTAGCTCACTCAATTCTCCACCATTTTCCTCGATCCAAACAGCAAACTTATTCTACTCCTCTCCCTCTACACAATCATGGTGCTATATTTCTCTAAAACTCACTCTACAAAGAACTATGGAAGATGGAAGTTTCGGGTACACTTGATTCACACTGATATGCATGGTAATGGAATGAATCCATACTAACCTAGAATGTTCTACATGCTGAGGGGATTACACTAAGCTAAAAACCTAAGAATATAACAGCCTAGGGTGCATGTTCTTGATCTTTAAAGATTTATAGCTCTGTTATGGAACTCCATGAATCTTGCTCTAACTCCTAGGGTTTCATCAACTAACCTAATGCATCAGTTCTATATCTATAAAACTAACTAAAACTGCATAAATTAAGAGAATTAGGGAGAGGAACCAACCTGTCAAGTGATGATGGTAGGTGCTCGTGGAGGATGATTCAGGGCTTGTAACTGCTTCAGGATGATCCTCCAATGGTGGAAATGCTTCTGTTTGCACTTGTTGGGAAGGAGATGGCTTGTAGATGCAGATTTCTTGAGTTGCTTGAACTTGAAGAAAGTGCTTCAATGGCTACTTCTCTCTCTCTCTCTCTCTCCTCAAATCTCTCTCTATCACCAACCTTGATCACTCTCTGATGCACTCTCTTTATAATGATCATTAGATGCTTCTAGATTCATCTAGAATATGGTGGAAAATTCTTGAAAATCTCATGTGGGGACAAGTTGGAAATCTCATATCTCATGCCTTATGTCTTACCATTTTGTGCCAAATTCTCTTTATGAGAGATATTGAGTGTGGATGAGTGAAAAACAAGCTCATCTTTGGCTTGTGTAAGGTTTTTCAACATTGCCTTCTTTTTCAAGTAACAACTTTTCAAAGCATCACTCATTTTAAAGCTTCAAATCAAAATTCTAGCTAAACCAATGTTCTCAAAATGATTTTTCCAATCAAAATGATATATTGGATGACCTATTTTGGATTTGTGGATCTTCCAAATCAATTTCCAATTTCAACTTTTCAAATTTATAAGCCATTTTTAGTTCATTTTTGACCAATCATGTAACTTCATGCTATGAGCTTTTCCAACAATTTGTGACCTTCTTTCTAGACTTAAAATCACATTTTGAACAACTTTCATGTTTTGAGTTTTTCCATTTGAGGCTTGGAAATAGGAGTTTTAGGCATTGGCTAAAATGACCTATAACTGACAAATGACCAAAATACCCCTGTCTTGTTCAAACCATAAGTTGAGTTCCACAAATCCAATCAAGGACTTCTACCACTCAAATTAAAGCTAAGAAGATGCTCTTCAACATTAATGTTGACCAAGAAATCATAGGAATCCTCCTACTAGGGCAAAAGTTGTCTGCAAGTTGGGTGACTTTCAAGGACCCAGATTCACACACCTCTGCTGACCTGTAATTTGTCAAAACCATAACTTGAGCTCTATAACTCCTATCAAGGACTTCCACCACTCAAATTAAAGCTTAGAACAAGATCTACAACATTCATGTTATGGGGAAGGTGAGATATCAATCACATCTTGAGCTAAAACTGCCTGGAAGATAGGGATCAAATTAGGGTTTTTCACTGACAATCCTTGGGGACCCTGACTTGAAACCTCTCAAACTCCTCACTCATGATGAGTTGGTCTAGGAATCATCTTTATATCATCTCTATGCATCATTCCATGATCTCATGGCCCTTGGATTGAGTCTCAACCTTCTCCAAATTTTCTGTTAACCTAGGGTTGACCCAGTCAAAACCCTAATTCTATCATTCATGGTTGAATATTCTGAACCCTTGCATAATGACTTCTCTGGGCTTCATGAAGGCTATCAAGACATCTCATAGGCTTTCCCAAGACATCAAATTCATTCTCAAAGTCTCAGAACCATCTGAGGGGCACCCACAACTCTCAAGCTATGAAGCACACAACCCTGGTTTCAACCCATTCCTCTGAGGATCTCTTGAACTTTCTGATGAAGGTATCCCCTTTCAAACACTCAATGAATAAATAATTGTTGGTCAAATTTTGGGGTGCAACAGTATGGAGTTTGAAAACAAGGAAGCCTGCGTCCTCGCCCTGCAACGTTGGCACATAACACACTGTGTGGACTATTGGGTGTGTAAGTCTGACAATGAACGATATGTCATTAAGTGTAAGAAACAAGAATGCAAGTTCAAGTGCAGAGCTTCATTTAGACAAAGGAACTCGAAATGGGTGATTGGTAAGCTGTCTGGGTCTCACACATGCACCACAACGTCTATGGCACAAGACCATAGCAAGCTCAGTTCAGAAATGGTTAGCCATAGCATCAGAGAACTTGTAAACAGCGACACCTCACTTAAGGTAAAAGTGATCATTGCCCATATTCTAGAAAAATACGGGTACATTATATCTTACCGGAAGGCGTTGATCGCTAAGTGCAAGGCGGTAGAGTCGCTTTACGGCAATTGGGAAACATCTTACAACGACCTACCGCAGTGGATACTGGTAATGAAAACCTTTCTTCCCGGAACCGTTATGGATTTGCAAACCATACCTGCCATATCAAGTGATGGTTCCCAGATCTCCGGAAAAAGAACATTCCTTCGTCTGTTTTGGGCATTTCGTCTGTGTATAAATGGTTTCGCCTACTGTAAGCCCATTGTGCAGGTAGACGGAACTTGGTTGTATGGCAAGTACAAAGGAACTCTATTGACGGCGGTGGCACAAGATGGCAACGCAAATATTTTCCCAGTGGCATTCGCTTTGGTCGAAGGAGAAACAAAGGAAGCCTGGAGTTTTTTTCTGAGGAACCTAAGATTACACGTGACACCACAGCCGAATTTATGTCTAATATCTGATAGGCATGAATCGATAAAAAGTGCATACAACAATCCAGAAAACGGTTGGCAAAATCCTCCATCTTCGCATGTCTACTGCATAAGACACATCGCTCAAAACTTCATGCGCGAGATTAAGGACAAGGTTCTACGAAAATTAGTTGTTAACATGGGTAAGGAAAAAATTTCGCTTATCTAAAGTATATTAGCACTTTTTTTTCATTTTTTCTAACGCATTGACGGATACAGGTTATGCATTGACGGAGGCCTCATTTAATTATTATCGCGGAGAAATCAGAAGATCCAACGCTGAGGCTTTAAATTGGATAGACAATATTCCTAGGGAGAAGTGAGCTAGAGCATTTGACGGAGGACAACGTTGGGGACATATGACATCTAACTTAACAGAAGCAATAAACTCTGTATTAAAGGCCACAAGAAACCTTCCTATCACTGCATTAGTCCAGTCTACATATTATCGAATGGGTTCACTATTTGGTAAACGAGGACACAAATGGACAAAAATGCTATCTTCAGGCAAAGTTTTCACAGATGGTTGTAACAAGGGAATGGCCAAGGAGGTAGCCAAGGCTAACACACACAATGTCATGCAATTTGATCGGGAAAGATTCTGCTTCATGGTGCAGGAAAAGATTAATTACAACGATGGTCGTCCAAAGGGTACTTTCAGCGTTGACTTGAGGAATCGTAGGTGTGACTGTGGAAAATTTCAAACGTTCCACTTGCCTTGCTCCCACGTGATAGCGGCATGTTCTAGCATACGACAAGACTATGCAATTCACATTCCAGAGATCTTCACAGTACTTAACGTATTCAAGGTCTACAAGGAAAGCTTCCTGGGACTACCGCACGAGGAGAACTGGCTAAAATATGAAGGTTTCACTCTCTGCCACGACGATTCAATCAGAAGAAATAAAAAGGGGCGTCCAAAAAGTAGTAGAATCCGAACTGAGATGGACGACGTAGAAAAATAGAAGAGACGGTGTGGGATTTGCAGAGAAATAGGTCATATGCGTAGAAAATGTCCCAATGTTGCCGGTCCGTCAAACCGACCGAATAGATAATTATATTGTACTACTTTTGTATTTGATCAATAAATTATTTTTAATTCAACACAACTTTCAAATTACAACAACAGCAGCGAACTACAAACATAAAGTGGATCCGTGACTCCACAAACGCAAACATAAAACTCATGAAGCTAACATAAACTCTAACAAACAATAGCGACCAACACAAGTGGATCTGTGACTCCTCTGTTGACTTCACCACTATGTGCTGAAAACATGCAATGGACATCTTCATCATTTTTTATACGATCTAGGTAGTACATGTACGTCCCCTCCGGGCTAGCATCAGTAAGCGTTATATATGGACAAAGATACTCAATTTTTCTCACCGTCACGCGACGACCGCCCAGCTGCCGAAACCCACTGTTAATTGCTGCGACCACGGTTCTGAAATTCCACAGCGGATCTAGGTAAACACTTAATTTTTTCTCAGGTCCATAGAAAACATGAGCTTGCACAGACATCTTTGTAAATCGGATAACTTGACACAAATGATAGTAAATTGGCATACGCTTATTTATACAAAAAAATTACGTCTGAGTTCGGTCATTCTGTGACCGAACTATGTAAATTATTTAATCTTCTAATTTAATCTTGTCATTTTATTGTTATAAATTATTTAATAAATTAATAAAATAGTTTTTAAATTAAATTATTTAAATAGTTTTTATATTAAATTAATAAAATAGTTTTTAAATTAAATTAATAAAATAGTTTTTATATTAAACTATTTAAATAGTTTTTATACTAAATTATTTAAATAGTTTTTATATTAAATTATTTAAATAGTTTTTATATTAAATTATTTAAATAGTTTTTATATTAAATTATTTAAATAGTTTTTATATTAAATTATTTAAATACATTTTAAATAGAATTAACAAAAAATTAAAAAACAAAAAAAAAACCATCTTCTTCACTAGTTCGCCCATTCAATGGGTGAACTCATGCATGACACGTTTTCTCAACATGTTCGCCCAACAGAAGGACGAACTTCTTCATGGATTTCACTAGTTCGTCCAATCAATGGACGAACTCCTTCTAAACTAGGGCATGCTGGTAAATTAGTTTTCAGAAAGGGCATTGTGGGATATTTCAGTTGAAACAAGGGCAGTTTGGTGAAAAATTCTCCTAATGTAGTTTTATTTAAAGGCCACCTATATGTAGTTAATTATGATCTTATAGAAACATAATTCATATCTATGCTTTGGCCTACTCACACAATCATATTCATATAGTTGTTTGTCGTCACTCTCTGCCATCTTTGTCATTGAATTTGTAACCCTAGTGGGACCAATATACCATCTTTATGAGAGAGAGGTATCTCATGCTTTTAAATTTAACAAGCCCGATTTGATTACGATAGATAGCTTCAAATTTTCTATAACATCGATCCCTTAGTTGTTAACACTTGTTGATTTGAATATTCATCTGAGTTTTTATACTATCGTATCAACTTATGATGCTTTACGTACAAGAAAGATACCAAAATATGACCGTTGCATGAGAATTTATGAACATTGTTGTTGAGTATCTAAATCTATTTAGAGGAGCGTGAGGCATAAACAGTGTGTCAGATTATGAATCTAGAGGGTGGATATCTCTGTCGGTGACTCAAACAACACTTTGTCAAAGGATTTGGACCCACTTCACTTACTAGGTAGGACATTGTTTTGTACCAATAACATCAATCAAACTATTTATACTACTAGTATCTTTTTTCACTCTGCTTGCAATTTGCATTCTTGGGGGAAAAATACAAATACACCTAACTTTGCTTGCTACTCTTGCAAATTGGACAGACACAAATATTTTGGCATTAAAGTCCAAAAATCCTACACTACTTTTAAAAAAATAATAATAACTGGAATGCAAGTTTATAATAAATTGATTAGTTTGTTAATATCTTACGAGCTTTATATATAAAAGATCTTAAGTAATTATTTATTATATTTTTTAATATAATTTAATATGAATTTTAAAAAATAAAATATTTGTGCTAAGTTCTCAAACTTTCTTCTCATGAAGCCTTCATTTATTCGACCATGTGTATTTTTAACAAAATGCTTTCTCTAAAATATCAAGTGATTCGGACATGAACACATCTCGTAGAATTTATTATGCTTAGGAGCATACATGGCACTTCCATGTTATTAATATAACAAACAATAAGTTGCCATGATTTCACGCTACTTTCATTTTTGTATATGATTTTTTATATTTAAAAATAAATAAAACGGTTGGGAACGTTGTAAATTACAATAAAATTCAATATTAATTTATGAGACAAAAAACAATAGAAACTAAAATAAATGGTTTTCCGCAATAATAACTCGTACGCAGATAATATAACAGAATAAGACAAGAAAAAATCGAAGTTTTATTTATCCAGTTTGATCAAACGATTTATTCTGGAGGAGAGTTACAAGAGATTATAGATGAGTTACAAGAAAATATCTTTCGTCTTCCGGTTTTCAAGAACAACCCTGAAGGCGCACAAGAACAACCCTATTTTCTAACCAAGTATTTCCCTATCTCTCAAACTCTCAATATATTAATCACTCAAATCCAATGTGTAATCTAAGATTTTCTTTGTGCATAGCTGAAACCCTATGCTATACCTTGAAACCTTTGGTCTTCCTTGTGGGTGAAAACTCTAAGATTGTTACACACCAAGCATATAAGAAATACATATTTATAATAGGAAATACTCAACAAATAAAGCCCAAAATCACATGGATTCATGGACCGAATCGGAAAAAGCTCAAAAACTCAAAAATACTATTCACCGTATGGACAATACTTTTCACCGTACGGACGACACTATTCACCGACCAATTTTTTTTTGTGCTCAACTTTTCGTTCGACTTTTTAAAACTTCCGATTTTCGCGGTAAATGCAATCTCCAAAATATGTTTTCTTTTTCTTCATCAACAAAAGTTTTAAGGCACATTTACAACAATCTCCACCTTGACTTTAAACAGTGTTGATACCAATTTAACAATCAGCAACATTGCTGCTCTCTACCAAGTTAAAACTTTAATCAATAACTTTGATTAAATTCAAGCAACTCTTGAATCTTGATCTCGCAACTTGCATCCACTTGTTCCCAATTATCTTTTTCTGCCTAGGTAATTTAACAAGCCTACAAGTATGATTTTTCAACCACCCTTGACTCCACCTGTTTTCAAATGCCTTCCTGAAGGTTTTTCTTCTTTTATTTTGTTGTCCTTCATCCACATTAAAAACATAATATCCAAGGCTAGCATAACCGTCCCTTTGAGATGCTACAATAACCCTTCTTACCTTATCATGAGTCAAATAGTAATCAGAGATCTCTGTAACTGTTCCCTCACTACTGCTAGCATCTATAGTAGGAAACTCCACATCAAACTGAGTTTTCTCCGTTATAGTTTCTCCCTTAGTTTTCACTATTCTTTTTCTAAAGAAATTCTCTACCAACCAAGTAAGTTGTTTTAACCTCAGCTCTTCCCCAAAAACTCAATAACAACTCAACGGTAACATGCATTTTTATCCCTTGATTTCGGCAAAATTCATTGTACTCTGAAACTTTCTCAAGGCATTTATAACGCCTTAAACGCAAATCATATAACTCTTCTTTGTCATGAAAGCCTCCACTAGTTAACGATGAATGAATAATAACATTTGAACCTTCTAAAATATATAGACCACATATTTTAGACCCTATAGCAACAATCAATTCATCACGCGAAATATTCAACACTCCATGTTCAAATCTAGTACAATAGCCAAGATCATCAAACATACTTACAGATAACAAATTTCACTTGAGTTCTGGAACATACCTCACAATGTGAATAAGAAGTTCACGGTCATTAAACATTTTAAATATGACCGTACCAATACCATGAACCTTGTATGCCTTATTATTACTAAGGCGAACTATCCCACCTTGCACCATCTTCAAAGGTTCAAATTATTCTATTCTTGGACATATGTGATAAGAGCAACCTGAGCCAATGACCCAACTATCTTCAGTTTCCAAATTCGATACTACTAGTGCTTCAACATCTTCATAACTTTCCTCACCCAACACAACTACAGCCTAAACATAATTTTCATTGACCTTTCTTTCAGGACAATCCCTTTTAAAGTGATCGATTTTTTGACAATTAAAACATTTTACCTTTGACTTGTCAGACCTCTTTGATTTGGACATCCCTTTACGCTCACCTCCTTCTCTTGACACATTTAAGCATTCATCACTATCTTCAATATTCAAATCTTTTGACTTTGAAAATTCTTTGGATTTCATCGCCGTCTCGACTTCATCCAAAGTAATAGTACCTTCCTTATCATAAAGAAGGGCATCTTTAAAGTGCTCAAATAATCTAGGTAATGAACTCAACAGGAGCAAAGCCTTGTCCTCATTATCAATCTTCACTTCAGTATTATCAAGATCATCGATAATCTTGTGAAATTCTATGAGCTTCTCAACTATGGATTTGTCCACCACCATTCGGAATGAATAGAGTTGTTGTTTCAGATATAACCTGTGAGCCAAAGACTTTGTCATATACAATGATTCAAGTTTTACCCACATAGAAACCGCAATTTGCTCCCTGGCAACTTCTCTTAGAACTTTATCCCAGAGGCACAAGATAATGGCACTCCCTGCCTTATCCACCATCTCGGTCTTCTATACTTGTGTAACCCCTGCAAACATCAATGATTCACTCTTCAAAGCGTCAATACACTTTTCTTGAATTAAAATTGCTTGCATCTTAATTTTCCACAACCCGAAGTCGTTGTTATCGGAAAATTTCTCGATCTGCCATCTACTAACCATGGTGTTCACTTGTCAACAATATCTCTTTGCTCCACGTTCACCGCACCACTTGTTGTGAATTATGAAAAAATTC